ACCAGACAATGTTTATAAAGTGTTTTTATGGCATTACAGGCACTTCATAAATCAACTTATTTTTAACAAATGAGAGGAGGACCAGCCTTTTCTGTGTCTTTGCCCTGCTACGCTAAGTTACACGGTGGTGTGAAACTGGAGATGAGGCTTATGAAATCGAAGTAAGATGTTTCTGGACAGCATTCTGTGGAAAGTAATGCTGTAGAGCTGAGCCTGCAGCTTCTGAACGGCACTGCAGCTTCCCCAGTCACGCGCAGACCCGTTCTAGCAAAAGTCAAAGATAACTTTGAATTCTTCCTTCTTTTAAAGCTCCTGGGTAACCAAAGCTAACTTTGCCTGAAACAATGAGTTCAAGTCAGATAAATGCCGATATGGTGCATAATTACATATCTGCAACTTGCTCTTGAGCCTGGAGGCTTGTGAGATTAGCTGCTTCACTGGTTTGTGCTCCAGCCTTGGCCACTTGGCAGTGTGTTCTTTCCCTGCATCCCTGTAGAGGTGTCCATGTGAGCAGCATTCAGGGAGATGGTGCAGCTGCCCAGCTGTGCTGTGTCCCTTTCCTCAGATTGTGCAGGGTATTTTTTTCTGACAACCCTTTTACCAGAGTAGCTTGTATTTTGGTGCACCTGCAGGCCTCCTGAGCACAGGTAGACAACCTCCTGAAATATGTCAGTGGCACTGTCCCACTGAGGATTACAATATGCTTTCTAGGTGTTTTCTCTGTGTGTGGGACTATATTAAATATGGAGCGTGCTTCCCTTATGATTCTTTCCTTTATAAGCTACAGGTTTGCAGATTCATTTGTTCTAACAACTCATGAAAAGCTAAGGTGGAACAGACAATTTCTTAGAAAAGTGCATTATAAATTCGATCATGCTTTACAGTCAATGCCACGAGAATCCATGTTTTCACTGGCCAATGATTTAAATTGAAATGAGACACCTCTACATCTTTTGGAGGTCTGCAATTTTATCCTTTAATTGCCACTGTAATAAAGAGGTGGGTTTTTAAGCCTGCCTGTCGCTGTGATAACCTCATCTTCTCCTGGCCCCCTACAAGCCCAGCTTTTATCTCTAAAGCACCAAGTTCTTTGAAAGAGTTTTCATTTGTTCTCAGCTAGATAAGCAGTATCCTTGTAATATCCACTTGCCACACTGTCTTCACTGACGCATAGAGCCTGTGTGGCTAAGTCTTTATCAGATTAGCGCTTATCAGAGTGCACAAATGCAACCTGGACACTTGTATCTCCAGGGTTACATTAAAGACTAGTCTGCCCCATATGCTAACACAGGCTCCATTCAGCAAAGTGTTTAAACACATGCTTAAGCAAGTGTATAGTCCAGTTCAGTGGTAATACGATTAGTCTTTTCCTTTGTTAAGAATATGCTTAGATGTTTCCTCAGATTAGAACTTGAGGTTGGCTGATTTACCTTATAAGTATATATCTTATAGGATGCATACATAGAATGTAGTTGTCAAGATGGAAATAGGTTCTGATGTTGCGTAGCTCAATGCACCTATTGCAGGTGGTAATATTGGAAAAGGAAGCACCAGTTTCCCAGTAGTACACCAAGTTTTGAAACATGAAAAATATGGGCAGAGGAAAATGTGCTGAAGAAAGTGCTATTGTGCAGATGCACTGCATTGTAAACTCTAACTTGGATTTCATGCGAGAAGATGACTTACAGATAATTGAAATATGGTTTTCCCAGTGGATTCTTTTTCCTTAGTGTGAGTTCAAATCACGTGCACTTATAGCATATTTCAATCATCCATAGAATAGAAACCCAGCGATGACACCAGTGCTCTCTGCTAACAGTTAGTAATCAAGGAGTAAATGTAGTGGAAGGAATACTGGGTCACCTGTCCTGCTGCCCTCCAGCCTCAACTGCTCAGGATTGCTGTAGTTGCTGGTGTAACTGGGATTGACAGCTAACCAATGACTGTGGAGTTGTTACCAAGTGTGTTCTTGCAGAGGTACAGACGTTCAGCCCCAGGAGGGAAGAGCTTTGCTTCAGGAGTTTTCCAGTTTGTATTTGTGTTTGCTTTGGGGAAGAGGAGTCGAAGAGCTAGAAGCCCTGGAACACTGGCAGTGGTTGTAGGTCATGACCTGTGACAGTGAGTCAAAAACTTGCCTTGGTGATTTCTGCCAGATGGCTTAGGGCTTTGCTTCCCCAGAGACCCAGCTGCTTGCAAGGGAGAAAACCAGGACTTTGGGGAAAGAGGGGTGAGAATATGTTTGGGTTTTTTTCCCAGAAAAAAATTCCTGGGGCAACAGGTGTCACTTGTGGCATAGAGATGCATTTGAGGTGCATGGAAATACCAGTACCACTTACGACTTTCATACTCGCCCTACTGAAAGTGTCAAAAAAAAATAAAGCTGTTTGTATACTTGTATCCTTCTAAAGTGGGCAGAAAATACTTCCAGATATGCAAGAAAAGCACCAATCACAACAAGATGCTGAAAATTTAAGGGACGTGAATATCCCTGCCTGCCTTCCTTCAGTGCAGCCAGTTCTGTCTCTACCAGTGAGTGGCTAGCATCTGATTGCTTTGGTCACCTGAACTATAGATAAGGAAAAATTGGGACCAAGACATTTGATATGTTCTTGAAGAAGCAGCTTTCTGGTTTACTCGAGAAGTTTTTGTTAACTTTCCATTCACTAGTTCTGTGAATCCACTCTGTGGTAGGTGTGAGCCTGTCACAGCTTCCTGTTGGGAATCTGTGCTTTTTCTACCCTCAGATGTGTGGTTGATTTTTGAACTGCAGAGATCCTTGGGCCCATCTCCAGTGTGGCAGCCAGGATAACAGCCATTATACATCGTAAATGCTGAGTTTCGATACATATACTTTTTGTAAATGATTAATAGCTGCTTTAGTAAATGATTGTTAACCCTAGTGTGTGTAGTCCCTGACCTGTAATATGTTTATAATGTCTGTGAATAGTTTATTGCTTCCATATAAACTGCTTATAAATGGAAACTTAGTACAATGTGTGACTAAGCATGGGGACAGAAGTAGAGGACAGGACATCTTGGCCTCTGTTACTGGGATCCACTGGATTCTCATGATGCAGCAGGGATGTGAGACCCTGTGTAACTCTGAGAGCAGAGGCAGGAAGTTGTCTCCTTTTGCATGTGTGCTGTTCAGTGTATGTTAGCTGGAATTTGTCGGAGCCCTTTGGTCTCTAATGTCTATGGAATTTATCTTGAGGATACAGATAAGAAGGTATTGTGATGACTGGCTGCTGGAAGAAAGTGGGCAGTACTGCCTAAAAAAAATACTACCAGTTTCAGTGCTAGAAGGCACTGGATGGCTCTTGGAGGAGATGTGTTGTATTCCCAGTGCTGAGCTGGGTGGTGCTGGAAGAGTTGGTGCCTTCCTTTCTCAGCGCCTTTCCTTCTCCAGCTGCTTTGTTTGATATATCTGTCTATGTCACAAATGGTTTGGGGCTGGGTCTGAACCTCATACTCCATCCTTCAGGGACTACGCACATGTATATAAGCTGCAATATACCAAAATATGAGTAATAGAAATCACAAATATAGTTCAGTATAATGATGCTAAACAGGTTTTCCTTTATTTTCTCTTTCATCTAACAATGCAGTGGAGCCTAAGAAGGAGAGAAGGGTTATGAGCAGTTCTGTTCAGCTTTTGCAGTGCAGTTTATTTAGCACCTCTGCAGGATTTAACGTGGTAACTCTTTAAAACTTGGCACACTAATCAAAGGTAGAATGTGATACATGTGTCTGGTAAACAGATGTTCCAGCCTTCCCAAACTGCTGTGAAAGTGTGCATCATTCTCAATAAATATGGAAGCAGCTGTGGCTTTGGAAGCTTTAGTTTCCTGGATGCTTTGGACCTCTATTCCACTTTTGCAGTCGTGGCTGTGGTGACCTAAAGATACAGCTAAAGCATAGTTTACTCTAATAGACAATACCTTTTATTAAACCAACCGATAACATCAGAAAAATCAATTTGCGTTCAAGCAGCTCCTCCTTCTATTTATTAATACTTCAACTATTACACCTAGCCAAAGACTGGACATAATGCAGAAGGAATCTTCTCTGTTGTAGGCTTCTGACAGTTAAGTGCATCTTGTGGCTTTTTCATACTAGTTTAGCTCCTGTAAGAAATAAGGCTAGAAGTCCTCTTAGGAGGGTTTCATTAAAGTGTTGGTGGTACGAAAACACAGAAACTTGCAGTAAAATTGGTATTTAATGCATTGTCAAAACTGTCTGAAGTTAGGTTAGTGAAAATGAATCCGTAGAAATTGCAATCTTATTCTCCTTTTTGGAAGGAAACCACTAGTGGCCCACTAGTGGTGTAATAGATCAGGACGGTTTACTGTCAGGATTCTCTTTGTACTGGTAGTGAAAAGGTGCTGCATGCTTTAATACTGGTGATAGACATCTCATTGCTGCAAGATCACCAGAAAATACCTAGAAGGAAGAGCTGCAAGGCTCAACGACAGAGTAATTCAGCAAGCTCAGCAGAGGAAGGGGTTTTGTTTAGAGTATTCACTGTCTGGCTTTTAACTTGACTCACTTTAGGCAGCTGGTGTTCAGAAGAGCTCTCCAGGTGCTGGATGGCCAAAATGAGCACCTGTCCTTGACTGATTATTTTTTTAAAGTAAAACTTGAAATGGGCATTCTGCCCAACACCGTGCCTGAAGGGTGCAAACCCCAAACAGAACTCGTGAGTCTGTGATGCGGTCTGAATGAAGAATCAGAGGGAGGAAAGCAGTGCCGTACTGGATGAGTCTCATGGCCTGTCCTCTGCTGTAGCACACCAGCCCAGTAGGGGAGCTCAGTGGGGATTTCCAGCAGGAGTAAAACTCCTACTTTTTTGGAGGTGTAATTCAGACTTTCTCATTATCTGATCTCTGGGTTGGTTCATTCTTTTTCTGTGTAGCTGGCTATCTATCACATTTGACAGAGAGATTGCTATGACAAAATGCTAAAAGCTCTTGCTCTGGGCTATTTTTAATCCACTGCAGGTGAAAGATCAGAACACATTTTTGCAAGATTTATGGGCCAGTGTTGTGCTGGGCACCATAAATGGGAGTTGACAAACTACAGGACACGAGGTTTAAGCCATTGACCTCTGACATTAGGAGTCATCACAACTGTATGTTATCACATTTGTGTTCAGGAGTTAAAGGCTTTTTCTCTGAGGGAGTCTTGTAAATGCTTAGCAGAGGTACAGAAATGCAGTGGTTACTCAGTCTTTAAGCTTTGTTGTTGGTGATGAGTAGTTAAATCTCTCAGGCCACTGTGGATTTTAGTGCAGAATATTTGTAAGTCATCATTAAGTCTTTGGGTTGTTTGTGCAGAATAACACATCTGGTTTTCTTGAGAAGGGTGTCGCTACTCAGTGACAGTTCAGCTTGAGCAGACTCAGCACTTTTTGCTGCTCCTTTAATAGTCTAGTATTCCAAGCTACTTCCCAACTCCAGGATCTCTGTTAACTGGGTCCATTTGTGAAACAAAAGCCCTGCTAAAGCAAAAAGGCTTTGGGATGCATGGGACACTGTTCTCAAATCAAGTATGTACTTCAGTGTTCTGAACTCGACCCCAAAATCCTGCAGTGCATCGTAATGCGATAGTGGGGGGAGGATGGGTGCATGCAGCTGCGCCTCTGCCTCTGACACAAGCATCTAAAACACTAGCAGGCCATTTTAGAAAGCGGGGAAGAGAGGAATGAAGAGCGGGTGAAGCTGACAGAGCAGAAGGCGAGTTGGAAGTGATGACTGAAGGGAAGGCCTGAGCTTACTGCAAGTCGAGGCACTGCTCTTGACAATCACCAGGCTGAGACCTGTCCCATGTAGAGGATCACAACATCCCGTTGTCTTTATTGCTGTCCGGAAATTCTTCAGGCTTGTAGCTGACCAGCTGACCCTGAAGGTTCAGGGGTAGGCTCTGTGCAGTGTTGAGTTCATCATGCAACGCAAGCTTCCCAAATTATACGTCATTCTGAGGGGCACAGAACCAATTAGCATATGGATTTGTTCTGCATGTGCAAGTCTTTTCTTGGGCTAAGGAAGTGTCATACAGAGACTTGTCTGAAGAAAAGAAGAAAACAGTTTAATCTTATATTGTAATTGTCATCCTCTGACTAATGATAAGCAATATTATGGCCTGCATATCGGCTGTAATTAAGCAGTGAGACACAACAAGGTGTATGTTACAGAGAGATAACACAGTGCTTAAGAGCCAGTGACCTGCTAAGCACATTATCTCCCAGCTGCACAAGCCCTACATAGTCAGTTTGTACACGTTGTGGTGGCAAATCCACCAGCCCCTCTTTCCCACCTTTATTCTGCTTTTCAAGGTGCAGAGACTGTGAAGAATTCTTGTGTTACTGGTTGTGTTGTGTGATGTTTAAAAAGCTCCCTTTTTATATCAGTCAATTTCTGCACATGTATGATGCATTCCAAGTTATCATTCAGTGGAGCTCTGGGAAATTAGCATCACTTAAAATGAGCCCCTTCAGTGTTTTGTTAGACAAGTAGGTATGGAGCATGCAGGGAAGGATCCAAGCACCACTGACAGCAACTCTTTGTTTGCTCCGGGAAAGGTTTTGTGTTGTTTTCAAAGATAGCAGAGGGAGCTTTTTGCTGGAACACAGTGTTAGATGAGACTTGTTTCAAAGTAAAATTGATTTTTAGTTAGAATTAAAGATTGGAAGCATGAAGCTCGTACTGTTTGTACTAAACACGAAAGCCTTTCTTATCAGAGTACCACTGCACATGTAGGTGCCTACGTAGGCTGACCAAGCTGAAGCTGCACAAGTGACTTGAGTCTTTGAACAATCAGATAAATGTCTTGAGGCTTATTCCTTATCTTACCCCTAATGAAACTTTGCAGGGTCAATAACTTGGTTAATGTTGATCAAATTTTCAGTTTAAGTTCAGTCATGGATGTGGATCTACAACCTCTTGATATTGGGCAGCTACATATGCTTGTACAATTAATACAAAATACAGTAGATCAAAGTGCTTCATTTTGTTCCTATGTCAGTCTCTTACACTTCCTTATTCATGTTGTTTCTCCCCCCAGCCATACAAATTGAATTCCAAATAGCAAATTAGAATGTCACTGTCATCTCTGTAAGCAAACTACTGACAATTTAGCCTAGGCAGAGGGAGAAAAGCAGCAGTGAGCTGAGGTAAGAAGTGTCTTATCTAATGTCTGTTAGCCAGTAATTGCCAGAACAGACTATGTATTTTCTGATTTCCCAATTTTTTGGTAATGTTCCTCTTTGAAACAGGTGGATACTTCTTTAGCCAAATGCAGGATTTCAGCAGGATTTTCAGACAGTCCTCTCATAGCCTGGTCAGAAGCAGAGATGGGTTACTGGGGTTTGAATAGCACATAGCCTCTCTGGACACTGGTGTCAGTTGGATGTCCTAGATATTGCTGTATTAAAAGCATAAAGTTAGGCTTAGTGCAAGAACAGAGAGACAAGGCAGAGGCAACAGAGACAGATGTCTCTTCCTCAGAGCCCTTCTACTGGGTGAGACTGTTTCTGATTACAGCTGTAGCCCTGTAAATGCCTGCTAGATGTCTGGTGATAATCCATTCAAAGCAATTACAAGGCATCCGTCACCAGCAGGGTCTGAGCCACAGGCTTCTTATCTGGGAAAATTGATGGAAGAGGGGAGTGAGGGAAGAAATCAATGCCTTTCACCAATGTTATCTGCCAAATTGAATTAAGCAGCATGGGATCCCTGCTTTACACAGTGCAAGAGCTGGAGCTTGAAGAGTCTGTTTGTAGTTAAGCTCAGTTCATGGGCAAGGCAGGTAGGAGCTGAGGGTTCGTTCTCCTCACTGGCAATTTCTTGGGCACCTACTAATGTCAGTGGAACTTGTGTGTGCAAAAGGAGTTCAGAACTTAGCAGCACCCAGAGCCTTTAACCTGGTAGCACCACTTGTGACTCTTGTGTCTGCTCATGGTCTTAATGTATCTTTTCATGTTCTTTTACTTTTTTTCTGGGTATAGCCAAGAGTATCTCATTGCTCGCCACATCCCAGTTTATACAGGCAAGGGCTGTAGAGAAAGCAACAGCAAAGATAACACTAATGGGTTCCCTGGAGGCAGTGCTAGCGAAACTAGTGTTTAGAAGTGGTGCACGTGCTGAGTCTGTTGGCAGCGCAGCCGTGCTGCGCAAGCATGTGACCCAGTACTGAGATGTACTGAGAGTTCATGGCTCTTGAGGTCAGGAGGTTTTGGGTGGGGGTTTTAATATGCAAGGAAATGCAGCTTATTGCTGTGGGGTTTGGTGTTTTGCTTCCCTGAGTGTATCTGCTTCTCATTGCACTTGCCTTATGGGTTGGAAGGATAAATTTCAGTTCTGTATGTCTAACTGCGTACTCATTTTGCCAAGCACTGTTGAAATCCAGGAGCGAGGTTCAGGAGAGTTTAACAGAGTTGCCAGCTGCAAAACAACACTTTCCCTTCCTGGGTTTGCAATTGACATTTCAAAGGCCACCAGTATATTTATGGAGCTGTTCAGTAGGTGCTTCCTGCATGGTATATAAGCAAATACGACTGTAGATCCATTTAGACAACAGCAGGGAGATTGTCACTTAGGATGCTACAAAACAGAATCTATTTGTACTGATCAAACCAGTTTTGTCTGTGGGCTGTGTGGCCAACAGCTTGTTAGTGCTTGGTATAGTACCTCGTTTTAGACCTTTGCCTCATGAAGTAGGGGTTTAATGCCATTTTTTTGACAAATAGCCAGCAAAGGAGTTCCTGCAGCTCCAGAGCATCTACTGTTACTGGGTTTGGAATGGAGTCCTGTTGACAGCCCATGTGCCTGCTCTTGGTTTGTGAACTCAACATTATGGGTTTATGATTTTCTTCACAAAAGCATAGTGATAACTCAAACATAAAGTCTTTATAATATTTACAGAAATGAGCAGATTTTGGAACAAATCTGACCTCCTTTCAAGGCAGTAAAACCTTGGTTTCTTTTTGCCCATGTAGGTTCCCTCTTGTGTTGCAGGGTTTTTATCCCGCCGTTGACGCGTATGTGCAATGAGAGAGTTCTCATCTGGGGAGAGTGCTGGGGGCTGGAGGACCAGGACAACTTAGGCAGAAGAGGCTCTGGGGACCTAAAAGCATAAAATCCTCAAGGTTCTGGATTGGAGCTGACTCGGCAGATGCAAAAGTAAGTTGAAGCAGATGAGCCAGACAACTTGTGGGTACTGGACAGAACAGTTCACCTAAACCAGGCCAGTGCAGAGATCTGTGGAAACCTTCCGCCTCCCAAGTAAGTGTGTGTGGGAATCTGCATTGCAGTCAGGTGTGCTTAAAGTGCACATAAGCCATCTAATAAAAATTCCCCCAGAGTATATGTCACACAGCTGTGTTTCATTGTATTTGTGCTCTCTTCCTACTGACAGCGCCTTTGGAGCCACATTACTCACATCTCATCATCAGCTCTGACATTCCTGGCTTTTTACTGCTTCCCTGGTTCCTATCATCTTCTGCAAGCTTTATACCTTCCTTGCACATTGGCCAAGGTGTATTTCTGTAGTATCTTTTCAACAAATGAACATGGGAGCATGTAAAAAGCAGTTTGGATACCACGGCAGTAACAAGGGCTTTCACCTTTTCTACTGAAAATCCCTACCAAGCCTCTACTCCATTGTTTTTATGGGTTCAGTTTTCCGTTTGCTCCATCTGTTTGGTATAAAGGGTGCTGCTTGCACTAAAATGGGAAGGACTGAGGTGCAGTGCTGAACTAGTGTTTAATCCTCTTTCAGAGCATTTTTGTTTACAGTGTATAGACCATGTTCAGAATGAGCAGCTCCAAGAGTATGTACATGGGCTTGGTTGGGGGTTTTTTTGTTTCCCTTTTTTCCGTAGTGGCTGTTGAATGAGCCATGAAGATGTTTTACCTCAGGCCTCAGGAAATTTGACTTTGGTTTCTATGTCCAGCAGCTGGTTTGAGCGTGGGGCAGTTCAGCTCATTTGGCTGCTGATCTCCCCCTCCTTCCCCCCTTTGTTCCTGTTGAATGAAAGTTCATCAGGGCAGGGCCTGTAGCTTGCTAAGGACTTGTTGGGAACTGAGCACAGAGGGGCTGGGGCCCCTGTTAGACTTCTAAACTATTTCCACTTTGTGAAATGAAGTTGAACTCAAGGGGTACTTCAGCACGCCACAGTCTGCAAGGCAGGTTTCTGTGTGCACTGCCAGCATTAGGTGAATTCTGAGTATCAACTGGTCTCAAAGGAGTTTTGTAGTGCTCGGGATGAACAGATCCCTGGATTGTAGGTTGGGGACTGGGCAGCAGTTTACTGAGCCGTGCTCCTTACCTGTGGCTCACTGCAGTGATGGGCAGTGCCTGAACTGCAGCTGCATCGGTGGAGGCAAGTTGCCAAAAGAAGGGCTACACAAATCCAGGTGAGGTGAGGAATAATGGAGTAAAAGAAAAGCTTTCTACGAGTAACCATAAGTGGTGTGGACACCTCCATTTCTTGCTGCCCAGTAAGAAACTCTCTGGCAGGTACCACTTAATGCCTTTGGCTCTTCCCAGTATGTCCCCAACTGCCTGTTCACTCACAAACCACATCTGAACACCTCATTTCCACTGTGAGATGAAACTGGCACCCTTGATACACAGCTGCAGCTGGCAAAGGAGAAGCTCTGGGGGTTTTGTGTGATTTTTGGTTTTATACATAAGCCACTGGGGAAAAAACTAAGATAGTAATGGTGTGGGTCTCTTCAAATTTTGCCAGCACTAACCCAGAGCTCTGTGGGATCTCTGACAGTCACCTCGGGTGTACAGCTCCCATTGGACAGTCTTGTGCTCAGGACAGTGGAGGAGGCAAATGAAGTACACGTTTTCTTGCTTTGTGTGTTTGTGCTTGTAATCTAGATCAGTTAAATGAAAGCTCCTAGCATAGAGTAGCCAGATAAATTTGGGATAGCTGAAAAGGGATAGTCCAAGCATAGGGATGGAGTCCAATAGGACTGGATAGCTGGATTTTCAGGCATTGGAGATTTCCATATGCGAGGCCAAGCCTTAATTCCAAGTTAGCCTCAGCTAACATCAGAAGGGGACTAAACCAAACAAGGTTTACTCCTAAGCTCTTGCAAACTCTGGCAGTGCAGTTTTGCTGCAGTTGGTCCCTGGTGAAGAGCACTCATTCAGAATGCACAAAACTGAACACATCCTGGGCAGTTCTGGCAAGAGCAGGAGGGGCATGGCTCCGACTGCCCCTCACAAAGCAGGCTGCAGTGAGTCACAAAGAGGAAGCAGAGATATTTTTGTCTAAGCTGTTTGATCATTCCCTGGCTTTTCCGATGTTTTACAAGGGCATGTTAAGAAATGTACCAGAGCTGTGGAAATTCTGCAGCCATTTCTCAGAAAACCATGAGAGAATGACTTTAACATGTTTCCATCTCCTGCTTTTTTGCATTTTTCCCCTCTTGTATTTCTTTTTCTTTGACCCAGTACAAACTTTTATATGCTTACAGCTCTCTGCATTCAACAGACAGTTCATTGCAGTGCTGGACTTCCCCCATGAAGCAGTACACATCGCTTCCAATGGAATTCCATTCTCCTTTACCGTATCATCATGTGCAGACCTGAAAATGGCTCTGTTTAAATGATGCCTTCAAGAGGATTATACCAGGCTGTGTGTGGAACAGCATGAAGGAGGGGCTGTCTTGACTCAGCTGCAGGTGGTTGGTGCACCTTGGCCCATTGAAGGTGGTAAGGTGATTGATTTATTTTTATTTTTTCGGGGGGGGGGGGGGGGTGTTAGGTATGCCAGAAAAGCTAAAGCACACCAGGAAAGCTGAGCATCCCTCCAACATCTGCAATTGCAGTGCTCTTTCCACCTACAGACAAAATGGGGTTTGGTGGTTGGTGTATGTGAGGGTGTGTATATGTGTCTATCAGAGGATGACTATGTGGACGAGTTCCATTGGCCTGCAAGCTACAATGGGTTAGACAATTTATAAGCCTTGTCTTATATGACTTGGCTGCACATGCACTAAATCCCCATCTAGTAGAATTAAAATGCAGTAACATTTCTGTCACCATCCCTCTGTGGTGGCACACATCATGTGAGGCACTAGTGAAGGTTGTGCCTGCAAGTGTCCAAGCCAGGGACATCACTCATCTCTCCCCAGGAGGCAACGCCCCCCATCTCACACCTTCCCTTGGGGAGCTTGGCCTGGGCCTCCTTCCCAGCACTGAGGTAAGGCCAGGGCTTTACCAGCACGTGGTCACCTCCACTGGTGCTTTGCAGACCTCTCCATGCACAACACACACAAGGCCAATGGCAGTAACCATCGGGTACACGCGTGCGGGTATCTAGTTCCTGTCTGTGCAGGGGGTTTAACTTCAAATGACAAAGCACTGGCCATTCGAGCAGGTACCTCACCTGCTGTGGGACACGGGTACGCGCTCACCCGAACACTGAGCTCCAGCACAGCCAGGCCAAAAACCAAAGCACTGCTACTGATTCTTTTCTGGACAAACAATTTTATTTTAGGTAATGCGTCTATACACTGTACATTCAGTCACTGTGGTATATAAGCATAGCTATTTTCATACATAATCTCATAAAGTCCTTTATTTTACAATATTATCTGCTTCGAGGGGAGGGGATGTGGAAAAGGGGTGGAAAAGGGGTGGAAAAGGACTATCAAGGTACACAGCGAAATAGATAAATATGCCAAGCTTTTTTCTTATTTTTTTTAAATCAGGCATTTATAAACAAGAAAGCATACATTACTTACATAAAAATAGTTCTAGAATAGTAGAGTAAGTCATAATATTGTCATTAGCAGCAGCATAGGAGAGACCAGGATAACAAAAATGTGCTGAAATGCTATTGGCTATTATAAATGTAAAGATTCATTTTTCTTCAGTTGAAAAAATGTCATTTCTGTGAGTTCTTTTGATTAAAAAAAAACCCAACCCAAAACAAAACAACCAAACCAACAAAAAACCTCTCTAAAACACGTGGACTGATGGGGGCAGAGGGGAAAGGAACCAATCTTTTGGTAATAAAATACTTTACAGTGAAAACGAGGACAAAGGAAATGCCAATGGTGGAGGAGGGCGAACCCACAGCGGCAGCTTCCAAAAAGGGTTTGTTGTGTTGTTCCTCACAGACAGCAAAGGTTCTTCTCAGTTAAAAACACAACTCATAAAACAAGACAGCTACCAGGTAAGAAAGAGTTTTGAAAAAGTAAACACCATATACACTTATAATACAACAGTGTAAAATGAAAACAAGTATTTACAGGTTGACTTGACTTTTAACTGTTTCTTTTTTTACATTGGCTAGTTCTGTTTGAAAAGCAGAATATTATGTATACGAGTTAGCTGCTCCATAGATATGAATGTTATTGCTGTTGGTTTTTTTTTCCCTTCGTTAAGTCTTCTTTCAGTAATAGAAACAATGAGTAATTAAACTGAATATACAAGTATTAAGTAATATATTTTTAAGCAGAGGGAGAGTCAACAGCCTGTAGGAAACACCTCTTCTCCCTGTTAACTTCTTAAAGGAAACTAACGAGCAGATGAAAGGCGAAGCTGGGACTTTACAGTTCCTGCCCTCCGGGGCTGGAGTGCACATGGAATGCAGCGGGACCCGGAGTGAGCCCAAGGACAAGCCCAGCCCTTCCCCGCCAGCGGGTGCTCCCTGAAATTACACACACAACTCCCCACCTCCAGCCTGCCCAAGGGGGGGTTGCTGAAGATTCCCACCGTCTGACAGCCCGCTTCTGGAAGTTAGTGTCTCTGGGGCTGTCTGCTGAGGATGTGGAAATGAATGGCACGCTCAGGAATTCTGAATTGGAAATCAATTCCGTGTTCAGCAGAAATAAATGGTAAAATGTACTTCAGAAAGACAGAATTCCTGAGGATGGAATTCCTGTCCTTCATGCCTCTCCTGCCAACTAGCTGCTGGTGTGGAACACTTGTTCCCAGTCTTCCTGCACCTTATTTAGGCTTTTGGATTTTAAACCTGAATTTATGCAAGTGTTTTTTATAGAACATTCTCACTCCCAAGGATCAAATGCTATTGAGCATGAACCTCAACCATGGTAAAGTTCATCTGTCAGATCATGGAACTGCTATAATGCTTGGCAAAAGGGCACAACAGGTTTGTAACAATGGTTGTAACTTTAATTTGTAGGCTTCTTTCTTGCCAATCTTAATCATAGAATCTTAGAACGGTTTGGGTTGAAGGGACCTTAAAGCTTATCCAGTTCCAAACTCCTGCCACGGGCAGGGACACCTTCCACTAGAGCAGCTTGCTCCAAGTCCCATCCAACCTGGCCTTGAACACTGCCCGGCCCATCTCACGTGAAGCACAGGTGCTGGTGGCTGTTAGGACCATTTACTACTGACAGATCAGCCCATGCACTGCTCCGGGTTAAAAATGCAGAATTCATTCATTTAGGAGCTAAAAGCATCATCTGCAGAGCAGACGTTGTGCCAGTGACTGCGTCTGCTTCCTGTACACTCAGAAAGAGCCACCGTGTCCTGGGCAGCGGGTGAGTGAGCCACTTCCCGGGAAGAGGTGGCTGGAGGCAGGCACGGTGCCAGCTCTTGTTGGGTCACAAGGGGAGAGCAGGTGAAAACCCCAAAGGAACCAAATGTAAACCGTGAGGGGTCAAAGGTGCTGGGGGGATGTACGTGTCCTCGGTGTAATTTCATACTGTGGCAGTGAAGCAGAGGAGGTGAGTGCTGATCCAGCATCAACTAGAGCTAAAGTTACTCTGTTTCCCTTGAACAAATAAGTGAATAATACAGAGCTGGAAATCATAAGGCTGAGAACATTTTTATGCATACTGCATAACAAAATAAACCCTTTACATAAGACAGTAATAATGCCCATTAATGAATATACTTATGGCAGAGATTTTAATTCCATGCATATGATTTAATATCGCAGAAAAAAACATACAAAGAAAAAAAACCAAAACCAACAAAACACATTAAAAAAAAAACCTGCTTAAGCATAATCAAAATTCCTTTTGCATTGCACTTTAGAGGAGGAGACCTGCACTAGCCTCAGTCTCTGGCATCCCAAACGCACGAGGGCAGAACCCTGGATCAGCGGACAGTTTCCCGTCATTTACTTGGTGGAACTGTTTCTTGCTCCCAACAGTTTTACATTGTCCCAGTAATTCTACTCCTTTCATATTTCTTCTTTTTTTTTTTGTACCTAAAAACATATATATGAACTTCTTTGTTAATGCTCACAGTTATTATAATGGTTATTATATAATGGTTTCAAGCAAACAGCTCTTGTTTAGGAAAAAAAAAAATCTCTCTAATGTACTGTAAGTAAATAGGATAATTTCAGGATTGGAAGCCGCTTTCTGTCTACTGAGAAATAATCTGTAAGCTTACAGAGTTTGCAGTAATGTCCAAAAGCAAATAAAGATTACCGGAAATAATGGTTCTTTGTTTTGAGTAACTTCTGGGGAGGATGACCCATTGGGGGGGGCTTTTTTTAATCTTTTTCCTTTTATTCTGTAAGGTCACCAGAGTGTCAGCGTTGCCTCTAGAAGATGCTGAGAGTTAAAACGAGCTGGAAGGCACATCTGCAGCCCCAGATCAATTTGTTCATGTTCTGCTGATGAGCTCGAGTGTGACAGGTGAGTGTTCAGGGGTGAAAAGAACTTTTCTCTTGTTCAGTAAAGCACCAACGTTCTTTGTTCAGCTCTTCTGGGAGCGTCTCCGCTGCCTCCCGAGCTCAGCGGGACTCAAACCCCGCTGGGGAAGTCATGTGGGCAGGATTCCACCCCGGGGGATGCTCCTGTGGGTGATGGTGCGAGGTGGCAGCTGGTGGAAAACTGGGCTGATGATTCCCACGCCTGCCCAGTGGGGCAGAGCCTGGACTGCTCAGCTTGTAAACTTGAGAAATGTGGAATAAAACGCAGAGTAAGATCCCGACAAAGTGCAGTTTAACGAAAAACCAACTGAAAACTGACCAGCACCCCCCAGCGAGCTGCAGTGCCTGCAGCCTGCACCTGGGCCCTGGGGCTGCGGCTGGGATCCCAGAATTAAAGTAATTTCTCTTTTTAAAAACAAAAAAGTTTTGTTTTGTCAATGATGTAGGCTTATTCACAGCAGCAAACATGTTTTCTTGTCTGTAGTATCCCATAACGCGATGTTGCACTCCCCTTGTGCACAGAACTCTGGACTGACGGTTCATAGTAAAAAGCAGGTAAATACTGAATTTATGGGAAGATGGTGCAACAAAGGTGAGTTTTCCAGAAAACTGACGTTAAGATTTCAGAATGGCTTCAAAACGCGTTCATCTTTTGCTTTATTTCTCAACTGACTTACTTAACGGATTATCCATTTCCTTCTTTCTTTTCCATAAGCTGAAGTGCTCTTGGATGAAGCGAGTCCTTTGAACACACCGAGTAGTGAGGATGTCTTTAGAAACGATGGTGTGATGTCAAACACTGAAGTCTGTAAGGCTGGGCTTGTAAGTATAGTGCGTAGTCTTCTCATCCCCCTCCCTCTTTCCAGTCCTGCATCTCCCTTGCTTCTTGTCTTCAGGACAGGAAATGAAGAGAATTCTTTCTAAGTAAGTTAAAAATCAAAGCACTCCGAAATTGTCATATACCCATGACAGGATTAAACTGATGGCTTCCGAGGTGGCTGGAAAACTGCTAATGAAATGGCATCATCACCAGAGGGCTTCTGCATTGAGAACCCCCAAACCTGTAACAAGTCATTAAAAATTGTGCATCGAAGGTTGTTTTTTGTTTTGCTTTGAAAGGTTCATTATAAAAATCTCATTAATTTTTTAATACTAAGTCTGTGTAATGAATTATTTTAAATAGCTTATAAGAAAAGTTTGTTTTTGAATTCCAAAATGTTCCAACAGGCAATAGGGCAACATAAAACCCCTACCCCACTTGCCTGCGTTGATTTGAGCTGGACGATGCTGCTTGCTTGGAGTTTGCCAGTAGAAAATTTGCTGTGGACTCAAAAGTATTTTGTTTATAAACACTTTGTGTTTTCTAGGCACAGTAAGATGTTGTGCTATATGGATCGGGGAGAAAAAGAGGCATCATTCAGTGCTTCAGTTAGAGAGAGTAACATTTGCCTTCCAACTAGTACAAATCCATATTCAGAGCCCTGTGTGCCATGACACAAGTACTCACACATGCACTTACACACGTCCCCACGTGTCCTCTCTTACTGTGCAGCTCTGGTGGACTCGAGGGGTGGGTCAGTTCTCAAGGGCGCTCGCTGTGTTTTCGCTGCTGGGGGGTTGACTGCTTGATTTAGGCCACAGTTGTTCCTGAAGTTCCTTGACTACTTTTTCCAAGTGTTCCCGAGCCTCCCTTTCATGCATCAGGTCAGCGCGGAGCTGCTCCCTGTCGGCCTCTGCGTGCTGGAGCTTGACCTGTAGGTCCTCAATCTGCAGAAAAGCACATTAAGAAACATAATAAACTATTTTAGTATTTGAGCTCCAGTGTGGGTCTGTAGACTTTAACACAGACCAGGGCCTTTGCACAAAGGGAGGAGAGCATAAAGCCATGGACTTCCAGACATACCACTGTCAAAGTCAAGGTGAGGAAGGAATTAATTCCCTTTTCCCTACTTCCTTCCGCATGCTGCTGTACAATTATGAAGTGCATCACATGAACCTTCATAAAGGTGGGTGAAAAACCAGAACAGTTCAGTGCCTTAATGTGACAAACTCTGGTCGCTACTTACCCATTCCTACTCTTTCTCCAGGCAGAAAGCAACTCAGCTCACTAATCAATGAGCTGAGTTTGCAAAGGTAAATTTACTTGCAGTTCTTTTACAATGGTTATTAATATGAGTGACTGGAGACATCCTCAGTTACCCCTGTACAAGGCCTGAGGTTTCAGCTATAGATTAATATCCAACAACAGCAGCTGCAGTATCCTCTGAGACCCTCAAATGTAAGGAACTGTAAGGAGGTGAGATGGGTGTGGAGGATGTGGAGGGGTGGGGTAGATGGCAAGGGGGTGTGAGCATGGACATGAGGAAGCTGGGATGCAGCACGTCCTCTGAATGAACAGAACCTCTCCAAGCAACAGGGAAAATGCCCATCCTTTCAATGTGTAAGTAAGAAGCTAAATGTTGGAAGGAACGGGGTGGAACAGGCCCTAAGGTGTAGTAACTGCTCAGAAATGGATTTCACCCTTCCCATTCTGTACTTCCTGGTAACTAACCTAAAGCTCCAGGAGAGAAAGGTGTAAAGATGGGAAAAGCGGCTCCGGTTTGAAATACACAGTTTTAGGCTGCGAACAGCTAAGATCAGCTGTTACCAAGGACTGCCACTTAACAGGAAAGGAAAGACAGCCATTTGGGGCTAACGCACCATAAAGCCCCCACCTGTCCAGGCTGGGATCTCACTGCCAAGAGCACAGAAAGGCCTAAAGCACACTGCTGTGCAGTAGGTATTGGCCATCGAGTACTTCGGCACTTACACATTTACATCCCCAAATCTGTTGTGTTACTTCCTCCCCTGCAGCCTGAAGCTTTTCCTCTCACACTGAGCCTGTCTCGAGAATTGTGGTTTCTGCAAAAATAACCAGAAGTGATGAACTCTCCCTGTGCCGCCAAATGCAAGAGGGAAGGGGCTAGAAAGCCTTGCTTTAAAATGTCTTACATGACTCCAGAGCTGAAGTCATATGGATGGACCTCTGTAAGCTTCAGGCTTTGAAGTTACTGGAGGTATTTTTCCACTCAGTTCCATCCAAAAATCTCTGAGGGAGCTGCCAGACAAAGCCCCAGGTCCTGAGGCATTGGTAGTGATGAGGTGTTTGCCCCAACGCAGCACTGGCAGGGCTGTGCTGTGTCCTCAGGCTGCTCTAGAAGGACAAACCTATGGATATTCAGCTTTTTGAGGTGACTGACTTCAGCCTTTCACATCAGGAAGCCTCCTCTACTCCTTCACAGGGAATAGTCCCACATTACCAGCACTTGCTGGTGCCCTGCCCTGGTTGCTGCCGGGTGGAAGCCAGCTTGCCGGTAACGCCCAGCGCGGCACCATGGCCTGGTTATGTTTAGTCTGGACACCTCTTATCAGCGAGACATCCTGCGAGGGCAGGAGGAAGCCCACATCATTTCCTGCTGCTGCACCCGCAGAAGCTCTCCCAGCCCTGGCAGAGCACCGCTCCCCTTCCCACGCCCAGCTGCGGGCTGCACCTCTGCCTGTCCCCCTCCCTTAAAGTGACCACAGGAGCTGTTTGCAGCTCATGTGCTGGGTAACAACACGCTATAAAGCACGTGTGTGCAACAACGCACCTGGTAGAAAAGTTCTTCCACTAAACATGCTCTGGAGGAGTCCCTTTAAGTGTGTATGTAGCAGGTAAGCCTCCAAATATGGCGTGTGTGTATGTGAATTTAAATTCAGCCAAGCCAAGCCTGCCCATCCTTCAGAACCCACTGCTTGCAAGTGGAACTGAAATCCTGGCCAGCGTTTGTCTGTCTCTGTAAATGGTGATGTCCGACTGACAAACGTGCCCAGTGCTGGGCAGACCTGCAGGCCTGACAGACAGAACACTGCCTTAGGGCTGTGAGCCACCGTGATGGGGGCAAAGACCCTGCACAGGCAGGAGCTGGGCTTGTGTCGCACCAGACACAAGAAGGCCACTGCCATTAGGGAACAGACACCTGAGCTACCCACAGGAAGGGTCAGTTATGGCTGCTAGAATTAGAATACTCCTGGTGTGCAGGTCTTACCTGGGCTGAGTACTTGGCGCGGAGCCTGCCGGCTTCACAGCCCTTGTCACACACCCGGATCTGCCTGGCTTGTTCCAGTTCCCTCTTCAGTCGTATCCGAGACTCATTCGCTTCCTTCATTTTCTTCTCATTCTCAGCTCGCAGACGTTCAATCTCCTTCCTTAAGTTGCGCTTCGCCTCCGTTGCTTCTCTCAGTTTCTCTTTCTTTGCCACCCGTAGGAACTCCAGCTCCTAGAATACAAAAGCCATTCACTTGTGAGCACAAACTGAGTCAGTGCATGGGAACAGAAGTGCGCAGGGAGCGGTCCAAACCCAGTTACCAACTTCTGCTGGTTATGACCAAGGCAGCTCATGTCTAAACCTCCTTCTGAACTTTACATACACTCTCCTGCTTTAAATCAACATGAGATCCTGCACTCAAGATACTCTGAATTCTTGGGTAATAAAAACCTCTACACTACAGCCACATTTTGCTTTGTCACGCAAAATAGCTGTGACCATCTGTGACTGAATAAAGATGAACTGCAGTTGGAGAGCGCTATGAGCCGCGTGCTCTACGCTTGCTCCAAGTTCCAAACCCACCAACTGCAGTGCCTGCCCTTCAACTGAAGACACTGAAGATGCACAGTGTTGTGATACATGCAGTTTATGAATGCCCTTTGTGTGCAGCAATGCTGTTCCCTACTCACTGAAGGCATTGGGAAGCGGTTCCATTTTACCAAGCTCCGCCCTGCCCCAAATCCACTTAAGGCAAGTATGGGAAAACCAAGGTGCGATCTGTCTAACTCTAGGCAGTTCTGGTTGTGCTCCAGGTGGCTGGTGTGGAGCCTGAGTCCCCTGACAACCCACCGATGGATGGCTCTATCCCAGCATCTGGAAAATCCTGGGCTAAAACCTTCAGCCAAATGAAAACCATGCTTTGCTCTGGAAATTGCCACTCTCACTGTCCACGTTCTTAACAGAAGCTGTTACCTTGAAATCTCAAATCCAAAAGAGAGCCATTAACGGAAGTGATAATGATAAAGAACCTAAAGCTACAGTGGCAGAAAGTCCTGAGCTGATAATGCTGTTGTTGAAAGGCCTCCCAAGCCCAGAAGGGTCCCAGAGTGCACCAAAGTCTGTCTCCCAGATGGTTAAATTAGTGCAGTTTTTCCCCAGAAGCAGCATTTCCGGTGTCAGAGTCACCCCTCGCAGCATCGCTCCCTTCAGCGGACGCTGCACTGGGGTCATGGGAAACTCACTCCTTCCCTGTCTCACTTCCCCAGGCGGCTGCAGCCGCTCAGCCCTGCCCCACTCCGGACACGGTGCCGTGCCTGGCACTGCTCCCCCCCACTCCAACAGGCTTTTAATGCCTCAGCACTCAGCTCTTCATCAACCACCACCTGTAACTCCTGCTTCACTTTAAGTACACACTGCATTGAGCTCAGATATTTAAAAATCAGCTTTAAATATATATTACTTACAAGTCTTTCATATGATCCCAGACTGGTTTGAGCTGGAAAGGACCTTAAAGCTCACCCAGTTCCAACCCCTTGCCATGGGCAGGAACACCTTCCCACCAGAGCAGGTTGCTCCAAGCCCCATTCAACCTGGCTCTGAAGACTTACCTATTTACTTAACCCAACCCCCAAAACCCTGGTAGTAGGTTCAGGGTTTCTAGTTCACTGCAATGAGAACAAACTGATCTGCGCTGGGCTCAAAGATTCTTTCAGTGATGGAAAGATGTTGGTTTTGGTCCCTCGGGATTAGAGCCCAGGGCAAGAACAGGTGGCAAGCTGAAAAATGCTGGAATGGTTCCTGAAGACTTGGGTTTCCTGGCTGGGTTTACAGCAGTGCCCCAGTAAAGGCTGTTGCTACTTGGGAAAAATGAGCCCATTCTTTTTCACATGAGCCTGCCTAATGTTCCTACCTGAAAGGGGCCTTGCAGGCAGTAGCAAGGGAAAGCAATTTTTCACCCTTACCTGATGCAGACTGCGTTTGGCTTGCAAGGCCGCGTTCAGCTTCTCTTCCTGCTTCACTCTCATTTTAACAACTTCATGGAGGAATTTTTCTTTGGCTTCTTTTGTATCCAGGCCACTGTCCA